GAGAGAGAGAGAGGGAGACTGTTTTTGGGTTTTTCTGTAGTGTGTCGCTATGGCTGCTATTTCCTTCCTGTAATTGAATCGCAAAAAAAGGTGGTATAATATTTCGCTTCTTTTGCAGACTCAGTACTGGTTCTTTAAACGAGTCCTTTCTTGTGTTATTGGGTTTGACTTCTTTTCCTGGATGATGCTGGGTAAATCCTTTTTTTGAGAATACTGGAAAACCCTTTATTTTAGATAATTTAGTCATTATAGAGAACGGGTAGGAACCCTTTTGTTGATCTTTTATTTTTAATTGAAAGTTTTTGTTTACAATTTTAAAAAGTGCACCTAAGTTATTGAGTATTTAACATTTTACAAGTATTCTTTAATTTAACTTCAAAATGCTTGTCAAAATACACATGAGTTTGAGTTGGAGCAGTAGAAAAGTGAAAAATGTTAAATAGTTGAAAAGTGAGGTGTATCTTGATAAATTTCCCTTGTTTTTTTTTTGGGGATGAATGAATGGCAATGTTTTGCAAGTCAAAATAAAAAGAGTGTCAATGTTTGCAGGTTACATGGGCTTCATGTAAACACTAGAGTCACATTTCTTTTCTCCTTTATTTTCTTCTTCGGGTTTAGTTTCTGTTCTCATGTAAAGATCACAACTGCATGAGAGTCTCTCATAAATTCGTCGAGCATGAACAAATTATGTCTTGATTGATAAATATATATTTTTCTTTGATTTATTGTGGGTCGGGAAATGTGGATTTGGATGCAAGAGGTTTAAGCTAATATTTGACAGTTGATCATATTCTTTGGTTCCAGCTTCATTCTTTGCAGAGCTTATTTGAGAGCCACAGATATAAATTCAGGCCCCTCATGAATGGAAAATGTATGTCTCTCATATTCATACTTTACAAGACTGTGTTTTCTTCTTTGAAATTAAGTCTGTGCACTTATGCTTATTTAGAGTTGCTTAGATACATACGTTTATTTTTTTGTGTATAAAAAAATAATTAACTTGAAAGTTGAAGCTACGATGCTTAGATACATACATTGCTATATCCATCTGTATGCAATGTGTGCATTAATCTATTTTTATTTCTTTATTGTTTACTGAGGTCTGTGAATATGGCGCTTTTGTTTTTAGTTCCTTCTTTTCATATGTTTGTGCATTGCAAGCAGGCCAATCAAAACAGTTTTCATTTGGCACGTATAACAGACTGGGAGGAGTTTTGAATAAGAAGCTAATCGTTCTTGCTGCTTCTCAAGATCAATCAAAACACAGTGAGCTCAACACTGAAGTTGTTAATCGAGAAGCAGTCCAAGATACTCATGAAGGAAGCAATGAAGAGGGAGAGTTGTATACAGACACTCAGAGAAGTAAAGGACAAGTGGGTTTTGTATCATTTTATGGTATTCCATACACAAGACATGATAATACTTTCTTACACACAACTGTCAACAAACGGCCAAACGTTTTGTGGGTTTTGGGCCCTTCTGTACTTGTGGCCTCCTTGGTTATTCCATCACTTTACCTAAGGCGCGTCCTTTCCACTGTGTTTGAAGATTCTCTCTTGACTGGTAGGGTCACTTGATGCTTCTTTGAGCTTTCAAATTATATGTTCCAGTGAGAATGTGAGAAATTGGTATTTATTAAAATTTATTTCCTTGGGAACTTCAATTTAACATCTTGTGTGGAAGTGAAACACATGAACATGACTAAGATGAATCTTTTATTTATTTATTTATTTTTTGATTTATTTTTGTCTGGGTTGCATATGAAATTTATAATTACTCTATAAGAAGAGTTTTTTAACTTCTTTTGCAATTTTACAACTGATGCCCACTAAACATTATACAAAATCAATGACTTGGTACTCATTCATGAGAAACTTGGGATTAGGTTTTGATCTTCTAAAAGATGAAAACACATGTGCAATACGCACAAAAACGACAGTAGGATACGTTGATTGGAAAAGCTGAGTTCAATTGGCATGGAAGCTCTAGTTAATGAGACTTTTGAACTATTTTAATGCAGATAAAGTTGTCTTTGAAAACACCTGTGCAATATGCACAAAAACGACAGTAGGATACGTTGATTGGAAAAGCTGAGTTCAATTGACATGGAAACTCTAGCTAATGAGACTTTGAACTATTTTAATGCAGAGAAAGTTGTCTTTGTATACTATCATAGACTAGAGGAACCTTAGTTGAAACATGAATGAATGTGTATGCATATGAGAAACTTTTCTGAAACCAGACTTCCACTTCCATGAACGATTATCAAAGACAGCACACACATGGAGTTTGTATCGATCAATATATCGGTAATTTGTTTTTAAAAGGCAGAAGGCGACCCCTAGGTGGGTGCCCTGTGATTGAGGTGGTCCAAAACAGTTGGTGGGGAGGGTGGTTTGGATTGGACACTTGGCGGCCTAGGAAGCACCTTGACCACCTAGGCATGCTTCCTAGAGGGGACCCCAACCAAGGCTCCCTACCTCTTGGAGGGGACAAATTGTCATAGTCATATAGTATGCAATTTTTGATAGCTGATGCTATTATTTCTTCATAATCTTGAATTGATTTTCACAAATAATTTTTGTTCACCAGGCATGATTTCTAAATTTCCATTGATTTTCTTCTGTAGCTTTTGTCCAGTAGATCCATTCACAGCTTAAAACATATTGACCAGAAACAAAGCTTCAGATTCGTTTTGAACTGCAGGCATTAATATATCCATTAGTGTCATAAAGTACATATGATTGATTTTAATTTAGAACCATTAATGTATACTTCAATTTCTTGTTCCTAAAGTTTGACGTGCAGATTTAGGGATGGTTAGATGCTTATAGTTGAATAAAATTTGAATACAAAGTAAATTGGAGCTAGTCCTTTTAGCAGAGTGAGAGGAGACATGCAGATCTCATCAAGAAAATAAATACTTGAAAATTGGAATTCATCTTCTTGAAAGCCTGTGACTTGCTTAATTTAAAGCTATACTCAAGAAGATAAATGTGTGCCAGAGAAGTGTGACTGCATATAGTGGAGTAGCACAGAAATGAACGTGTGATTGTCTAAGTTCCTGGGTAGGATCCTCCATTATAGAGTTTGAAGAGCACACAAACTGTTCAAGAAACAATACTGACTGATGACTACAATGTCCATTTGAGGATATTCATTTTGTGTGTTTCAATCAGAAGTGCTGTTTCAGGGAGGCAGATGCAAGCTCTGGCAGGCAAGTTCACATGAGAATAGAAAAGCTTATCATTAATGAATGGGATGAAACAGAGCAAGGAATGCTTTCTTTGAAATGGTATGAGTATAAATAAAAAATATTTGCAAAGGGTTATTTCACTTGAACCCCCTTGTATGCAAATATGAGCGCCCTCATGATTGCAGCTCTATTATGAATGTTTGAAGTGGGAATCTCTTTCCTTTAATAATTCTCCCCATTTGGTCTCACAGTTCCAGAATGGGAGCCAAGGGGAATCATTTTCTGTTCTTTCCTAGTACTCTGTTTGTTGCCATTGAACTGTGGTTTGCTTATTCTGCTGTGTTCGAAATATACTCTCTCTCACTCTCCTCTCTCTCTCTCTCTCTCTCTCTTGCTCTTATATACCCTTAGAAACATTTGTTCAGGTGAAAATGTTTCATTCACACTCTCTTGGATCCCGAGAATATGATTTTGAAAATTTTTTCGAAAAAAGAAAACTAGAAATGTTTTAGAGACAAAATTCAGAGAACATGGGTCGTCTATTTCAGGTGTCATAAATGCTGTTAGATTGAGCCTTTAGGGGGATTTGGTGACCCCAAATCTGAATTTTTATACTAGATGTATTGTTTGTGTTCATTCATATTTGGTTGGGTGTCTTTAGGCACTTCTTGGGTGCGTAATAATAGTCATACTTGTAGTAGTAGTGGTGGTGGGGTGGTAGTATTAGTAGTACGAGTAATAATGATGGTGATGATAATAATAAATTGCAATTAGTGCTGCTGCTGCTGATGATATTATTATGATTATTATTATTTTATGCTTGGTTGCTAAGAAGATTAGGAGTTATCCCCCACTATTTGGGGTCCAAGGGGTCCTAGCTATGGTTTTGGGCTAGGGATTAGACTGTAGCGATCAGCCCTTAGGTGGACCAAATTTTTCATAGGTACATTCACATGCATACACACACATATATAGATAGTTGATAAAAAAATCTAATATTTCTGTGTCAATAATACAATGATTAGAATGAGAGGGAGAAAGAAATACATGCTGTAAGCAGACATAATTAATTTGTACAATATCCTATAGACATGGATACACAATGGTATATTCGACATACATTTGGTGCAGTATAGTATCTATATATAGTATAGAATATATTATATGTAGTATATTTGTATGGATGTCTTATATAGTGGATAAGTCATGAAAAATGTATTTGGTATATGATATTATAACGTATGCAAATTTCTAGAAACCAATCATGCATCAAATCCTAGGTATTTAGATTCTAGTATATGTAAACCCTGGTTCGAGGAACAATATCATTTGGGTAGCTTTTGGATAACCCATTGCATAACAAATCCCTGTTTGACTCATCTAAATGTAAAACAGGTTTTGGCAGTTTGCTATTAAAGTTTAGCCTTTCATTTCATGGTTTGAAGATTACATATTGGTATCTCTTCAATTAAAACAATTTCTTTGAAATAAGCCATCTATAATATGCGAAACAAATTATACAATTCAGATCTTATTTTGTAGAATATTTGTTGGTCAAATTTTGATTTACAACTTTTCTCTCTCTCTCTCTAGAATGGTTTTGAACATATTGCTTATTCGAACATAGTCATTAGGGCATTTTTATTAAATATGTTATTCTTAAAAAATAATAATATTAAATTACGAGTGACACAAGACCAATGAAATAAATTCTACTTAAATATTATTATTTATAGAGATATTTATTTAAGAAAATATTTAAATAATCACTATTTTAATAATAATAATAATAATAAATGTACATATCAATATTATAATTATATAGTTCCTTCAAAAAAAATATATAATTATATAGTAATATCATTACTGTATATCATTGCTATAATAACCGTATAAAAATATAATATCATTTATTAGTATTAATATATTATTTTAATATTAATAAATATTGAAATGAAATACACTATAATTAAAAAATTAATATCTTGAAGTGGAGTTACAAAGAATAAGCGGGTGGTGTGCGCTTTAATGCAAAAAGCTACTTTTACCAAAAGCTTGAAATATATACCTTTTTATTTTATTTTTCTGGAATATTAGCAAATGTTGGATGTGAGAGGTTTTGAGGATGTAGATATCCTGGATATGATCTCCAAAAATACATCCAAACAACCTTAGGCCATCGAAACCTAGATATGCAAAAGAAGGTTTCGCATATGGAAGGGTTCCTGATGAGGGACAAAATTATTTTAATTTTAAATTTTTGTTTAATTTCAAGAGTTGCATATTTTAGTTTAGTATTTACGTTTAAGGTTTTTAAGTTTTCTAGGGGTTCCAGGGTTTTTTCGTATTTTATATTTTTTATTTACTATTTACGGGTACCGTTCACGAATGGGTACTGTTCATGTGTTACTGTTTGTGTTATTGTTTATAGGGGTATTTCTGGAATTTTAGTATTATTTGGGGGTATTTTAGAGTCTTAAATATTTACTTAGGCCTCAAGTTAATTTTATGGTTTCATAGGCTTATTAAAGGTTGGATGTCAAATTTTTGGGTGGCTTTTGGTGAATGAAATAAAATGTTATCATAGAGAAAAGAGAGCATCTTCTCTTTGTTTTTCCTATTGGTTTCTTCCTGCATCAAGCGGTATCAAAGTATGGTTCAAAGACAGCTGGAGATTGCGATGTCTGGTCATGGAGGTCTTAGTTGTAGGGATGCCGATCTAATCTAACTACACAAGAAAATCAACAACTTGATGGAGAGGGTTAGAAAGTTATTGCGCAAGCATGGCCAACAATTGTGTGCCCTAAACAAAGAGGAATCTATCGGGATAGATCCAAATCGTGAGGGTTTTTATGGAGAATGACATGAATTGGAGTCCAATTCCGAGTGAGAGTGAGATAATAACGTGTCAAGTTCCATAAATGGGTAATACGCGCAATGGCATTGACCGGTGCATAATTTTGAAGAGGAACTCGAGTACAACCCTTTTCACCTTTTTGCTCCGCGTGAAGAGTTGAGTGAAGAGGAAAGTGATAGAAGACCTATATGTGGGGGACATCACTCTAGGGTTTTCTATTTGAAGGAGGATAGTATTGATTTCTAAAATCAGCAAGTTGTAGATTGGGATTCACCTCTCCAAGCGTCGAAGCATGCTCAGAACAAAATCTTGCAAAATATTTGATCTATGATAAAGAAAAACTTATTGTGGGTAAATTTCAATCTGTGACAAAGAAAAAGATAGAGATCTTACGGATATCAAAGAAGTGGAACATTTAGGAGATTTAGGGCATTAGAATCAAAGTGGTGCAGTGGAAGTATGGTCGACTCAGAATTTGCAAATTGTGGCCCTGGATTCAGAGAGTTATGA